CATTTATTATACTAGACCTAATATTTTCAGAAGTCGAGGTTGGACGTCTTTTGTTCACCCTTATGATCCATTAGTAGATGTTACATTTAAGAAAGTTGGAGATGGCCATCCATTACGTTTGTGGAAGGTCACCACTGAAGTTGAAGCTCCGCCTCAAGAAGTTTTACACAGGTTTATTTTTTGCAAAAACTTTGTAGTCAAAATCATTTATTAAATGATAGTCTTATTTTATAATAACTATATGAATATTTGCAGTATACTGAATGAAAGAAAGGTCTGGGATCCATCGTTGATTAGATCTTTTGTTGTGGAACGGCCTGTGGATCATTGTGATGTATTTTGTTATACAACTGCAAGTATGGCTTCTCTACCTCCTAGAGAATTTTGTGTTTTGAGGTAAAATTTTACTTATAGATAATAATAAACTAGCTGTATCTGCCTGCGACTTTGTTTGCGTGGATTTTAACAAAAAAGTTAAAAGTATTTTTATTTTAATTGCAATTTACTTTTAGTTTTTTGCGTTAGCATTTTTTACAAACTTCTTTATATATAATAATGTGTATATATACAATATTTGATGTACGATTTATTTATTGCGCTAATACAACTCTTTTGGTCTTTCTCATGTTTGGAGAGACTTGATTTGACGTTCTGCTAATCATACCTAATAGATGTACATTTAAAAAATTAAAAGTCTAACTTTTATAAATATTTATTTTGAGAAAAGACAACTATCAACGCTACTAACTAATTAAAATCAACTATGAATAATTGATAAATTTCAATGCAATCTTGAATATTGAAGACAAATGCACTTAATTAACTTCCCATGGTAAGTTATAGTAATCACAAAAAAACGAAAATTAAAATTTTTATATATCTTTACGTTTTAGAGGTTTCTGAACATTTTAGTTTTAGAAAAAATGATGTATGTGTGTGTATGTGTTCGGATATAAATTTTCGTCGACGATTTCGGGAACACGGTACAACCGATTTGAATAATTCAAAAAATTCGATTCGTATTGATAAGGAGACGTGCTGATTAATTTTTGTACAAGGCCAAAAATGGTAATTCGATTTTAAGAGAACGGAACGTCTGATTTAAATAATTCAAAAAAAAAAATTTACTTGTATTGATAGAATGAAGAACTAATTAAATTTTTGGTAAGGCGGGCCTAGTGGTTTTGGAGATCGAGTAAAAAAATAAAAAAGTGCCATTTGGCGGTCAAAAATGATATGTCTAATGACACATCACATTATCAGTATTTTATAGTGATTTTGATAATAAATATTTTTTAATTTTATTTATTTAAAATTTGTTTTTTTCTATGGGTTCCGTATCATTGTACATTCGTTAGACTGTAGCTAAAGCAGCCCGATTGCTTTGAAAAAAGTTCAAAATTTCCAAAATATTTCAAAATAAAAAAATCATTTTTTCAAAAAGCCAATTTATTTCAAAAATTCAAAATTCTCAAAAAATTAATTTTTTCAAAGTTTAAAAAAAATAATAATTGTTTAAAAATTAGTTTTTGGTATGGAAAGTTTCAGCAATTTGCCTTAAGGCACGGTGCCATACATCACTAGTTTGTAATTATTACCGTAATATCGCTCACAGCCCGCATGCAACGCGCGTCGAGAGTAAACTCCTCGCTCGTATTGAAGTGGTTAAATGAGGAAAAATAGTAAAAATGTAACAAAATAGTTTGAATTAAAATAAGATATAAGATACAAGGATATATACAAGGTTATTAAAATATTTTTAATTAATATAAGATCAGATAAAATGCAAAAACCAAACTACTTAAATTTTTTCAAATTTTACGCGAACGAAATCTCGGGTACAGCTATATGAGATAATGTAACTTAATATAAGAGAAGGCATTTTTTCTAAAATAGAAGAAGCCTAACTTACGCCGTCAAAATCGGTCTAGCAGTTTTGGAGATTAGTCCAAACAGACATAATTTTCTAAAGATGTTAATTTGGTGTATGCTATTTACATTCATATAAATGTATTATAAAAGGGCTATTTCAATATTAAAAACAGATGCATTCATTTTATTTACATAATTTCTATGGATGAGTCAAAGCTTAAAGTTCTCTTAATTTTATGTAGATCATGGCGTACTGATTTGACTAAAGGTGCTTGTTGTATGGTTGAAACTTCTGTTAAGAGACCAATGACCTACACAACTCCACCAGGCACACCAAAAATCGAACATTCCAGTTACGGAGTGATTACAGGAGTTGTACTAGCTTCCAGATACTTTATTGAACCTTGCGGCAGTGGCAGATCCAGAGTCATGCATTTATCAAGAGTAGATACAAAGTATGTTAGAAATAAAATAATAATAATTGGCCAAATCACGGATAAAATTGCTGTGTTATGTTACAGGACTCTTTGAGTAGTCTAGTCGCATGAGTTGGTAGTCTCGAAACTGTATTTGTATTCGAGCGTTTTATTGTTTATAGGTACAACAATTTGTTTTGATGGCTAGATTTTAGCAGTTAAGATTTTGTAAAACACTTGAATAAATTGGCCCATAGGCCAAACCGTTAGAAATTCGAAGTTGCAATATATGGAAGAAAAACTAAAAATTTGAGACACTGCAAATGATGTATTTAACTAACAATAAGAATTTTAAGACGATTCTAATGATATATAATGCTTGAATAGTTGCTTAAATCTATCCCTACTTTGCATTTAAACATCTAAATATTCACACATATTCTATCCTACAACCTATACGATAACAGATATGTAAAAAGTTTGTTTGGATGAAAGATTAAAACAAGAATAAAACGACATATAATTCGATATGTGTGTTCATATAATTTTCTTGAGATTTTCCAATTATCCTAATTTTGAGATGCTTCTAATGATATATATATATACTTAATCATAAGAGACCAGTAACATTACATTACTATTTTATTTGTGAATTGGCTCACAAGTTACAAGAGAAATAATGCAATTAAAACTTATTTCTTTATTTACTAGGGGAAGAACTCTGGAATTCTATACCAAAATTTATGGACACGTTTGTGCTGACCAACTTACAAACTTGAGAAAAGCGTTTGTTATTAAATCTGAGGGACCTGAATCAAAAGTCTAAAGTTTTAAGTATTTACTATTAATATGTTGTTCTATATTATAAAATATTGTTGTTAATGTTAAATGTTTATACTATTTTATTATATATTTATGCATTTTAAAGATAAATTTGAACTTAAATTTAATGTGTAACAGCTGTTAACCACAATGGCTTTTTATATATGAGAAGATTCTTCATAGGCTCAACATTTATATACGAGATCATGAACAATCTTTTGCATATGTACTTATTTTAAAAGATCATTCAAGTCAACTAAATGTCATGTTAGTTGTTTACAGTAAAATACAATATCAAGAGCATGCTGGAAAACAATTTTGATGTGAAAATGAATGTGTCGATGTGCTGTATGTTTATAGTTGTGGTATAACTAACATCAAATATTAACTAGTCAAAATATGATATAGGACTAGAGCTAATGAAATGTCATAATTATTGGTTCAATATACATATTATTAATTGTACTATATATAAGTGTATTATAGGAAGATGAAAGACCAAATATTAAAAGAGGCTCTTAAATTTTATTTGAACGATTTACAGTAGCTTATTTAAGAACATATTGAGCAATTATTATAAAATAATTTTAAATAATCTTTCCAATCTATATATATATATATATATATATATACAGTAATATATATTAATATATTTTACACATCACTTGTATAAATTATTAGATAGGTTTTTTAGAAAATATTCATAATTGAATTTATTTATATTGCTTGAAATTGATTAAAATCCAATATATTCAAGGAATCGGGCTGTGTATGTAAAGAATTTATTGATAATTCAGATAAGTCTAAGTAAATGTAATATTTAGAATAACCAGTATTATAAAATGAGATGAATATATATAAACAAATTTATATATATTTACTTTTAAAAAAGCTTGTTTTTTATACAGCAAAAGAAATTTATCTTTATACAGCGAAAGAGATATCAGACAAGCTTTCAATTTTCCTTGCAAAACAGGAAAATATATTTTATATACATGTCTATCTACTCATTGTCTATCACTGTTGCGTATTGTGTAAAAAACATATATATTAAAATTAAGGCATATCACTAAAAAGTATAACAATTTAAAGAGTTTGTATTTAACGGAATATATTTTAAATTGGAAAGTGAAAACTAAATGTTTATTTATATTTAATCCTGTACCCTTCCTGATGATGATTTACAATCTAAATTTACAAAATATTGAAATAATATCAGTAAACATTTTATGAAATACTTGCAAATGAAAAAATACATATTTATTAACAAATTTTATTGGTGCTTATTATATATGACTATTTTCTGAAATCATATATAAAAAAACTAAAACAGCAACATCAAGGGGCAGGAGAATGTAATAATATACCAAACAATCCCACTAAGCACTTTACGCTTGATGTTAACGTATAAGAAAATCTATAACATGGCTAAATTAAAAACATATGTTGTAAGAAATATGCATGTTTTACCTTTTATATGGTAAAAATATTACAAAAATATATTTATGTACCAATATATACCTATATATGATTAAGAAAGGAATTATAATCAAATCAAATAATGTTATTATTGAAACTAAATTGAATAGATTTAATTTATTGCACCTAAGTTTTATTTCCATATGTGAATGTAATTTGAAAAACACGAATAAATGTGATCAAATCAACATATGGTCTTTTATGCACATAATATGTATAGTATTAATTTCATAACAAATTACTTTTTTGGAGTATTGATGATATCAACTAAATATGCGTAAAGTAGATCACAATAGAGTTTTTTTAATATTATTATGAAAGATATAAATGTTAGTTGGCTTTTATCTTTCATAAAGAACTTCTTCACACTAAGTTCTTCTGTTCAGCAATGCACACTTGCTGAACACAGGGCCCCACAAATATCTTTTTAATTAATTGAAATAAATGCAAATAAATTAATTGAAAGCAATGCACACTTGCTCAACACAGGGCTTTGCAAACATCTTATTATAAAATATATTCGTATTAAAATTAATTGAAATAAATGTGGATGAATGATTTGAAAAACTAGTGGGGTGGGTGGCATCGTGCCTTAAGGCAAATTGCTGGAACTTCCCGTACCGTAACGAAATGTTTGAGGAATACCGAATGTTTTCAAATAGATTATTATAAATATTGTAACATTGTCTAATATTTATAAGAATTATATAAACTGAATTGCAAAGTTGAAATTATTTGTTTAAAGTATACTAGAAGTATAGTCAGAATTAAAAATAAAATCTGAATTATTTTCGATATACAAAAAATTAAAAAAAAAAAAAAAAAAAAAATTAAAACAAATTTTTTTTTCCAAAATCAATTATTTTGTTAAGACAAGCAGAAAGTTTTTTGAATCATTCAAATCGGACGCTTATTTCTCTCAAAAACTGCCATTTTTTACATATTTAGCTCCGTATCTTTGAAATGCCTGGGCCTGCCTTTGCCAAAAACTGATAAACACTTCTCCCAATCATTTCTAATTGAATGTTTTTTAGATCATTCAAATCGGATACTCCGTTCTCTCAAAAAGTCGATTTCTATTTTCTGCACTCTTTGCTCCGTATCCTCGAAACGGCTGGACCTGCCTTTGCCAAAAACTAATCAGCTCTTTTCCCTATCGATAGGAATCGAATGTTTTTTGAACCATTCAAATCGGTTGATTCGTGCACCCGAAAACGTGACTGTAAATTTGTATCCATATATACATACACACACACACACACACACACACATACACACACACATCCGTTTTTTCTGAGGTATGCCAAAATGTTCAGAAACCTTCAAAACGTCGAGAAATGTAAAAATTTTCAATTCCGATTTTCGGCCCATTTCAATAACTTACTCTACGGGAAGTTAAAAATATTTAAATAATAAAAAATGTTTTTGGGGCACTTGATACTACATAATAATACTAAAATATTATTAATGTATAAGGATATTCAATTTACAAGTCACTTTACTAAACGCTTACATGCTTATAAATTTATTAATTTATTCAATACATTTCCTAATATGGTTTTGATTATATTGGAGAAGGTTTCTTGGAAATTTGTGTTTATATATATATATATATATATATATATATATATACTGTTTACTAAATTTTAATAAAAATTTGTAGGATTTAGTAAAAATAGACTAGAAGTTATTCCAGAAGATTTTGCATTGTGTTTGTTGATTTCTGTTTCGATTTGATTGTATATGTATTACATTATTATTTGATATATTCTTGTTATTATTGTATTTTTAAGAAAATAATTCGACTCTAATGCTAAATTTTGGTTCAAATAATCGATTAACAAAATTTATTATTTTTTATTTCTGTGCCATTAATTTGAATGCATTATGAGTGTGGGGTTGTCAAACGATAGCGATAATAGCTCTTCCTCACAATCTGAACAAAAAAATCAACAGTAACAAACGTCTATATGAATATATGGGATTTTGTAAAACTTACTGTGAAATATGATATGTATGTTACAGTATCTTATGTTTTGATAGGTATATGTATAACAAATTTAAGAATTTCATACTTGGCGCCAGAGTCTCGTGCGGCAAAACCATGAACTAAAAGGGGTTGCCAGCAGTGAGCAAATGCTCTAGCAAACTACTTCATTTTCATTTACTTTTTGGCGCGAAGCAGTAAGCGTCTAATAACAATTAGGATAACCTCCAAAGAGTTCGGTTGTGTATTAAGTGTCATATACTTGCCTCTTGGTTTTTTTTTTTAATTTAAATACGGTGGTGTTCTTTAGTGACAATTTGATATTGAGAATACGGTGTTCACCGATTCTTACAAATATTAACGGAGGTAAACAAATACACAGGCTCAGATAATAATAGATTACTTGAGCTACTTGAGCAATGTTAAATTTCGTAGTTATTTTCGAGACCTTTAGTGTGTAGAAAACTATAAGCACACACTAAGCCAAATATTATAATATGCATCAGTGTTAAACAGTAATATATATTGTTATAATATTTTACCGAAGTTATTTTAGTCTTGGTTGAACTTCGAAGAGAGCAACAGCTACAAATTATTTTTTCTCATAATGAGTGGACGGAAAGGAAGTACGAGTGGAAATGTTCATCCTGGTCGTAGTAAAAAAAGAAAGTTTAGTGGAAACCGTTTTACCCACCAAAATGATACGGTATTTACATCAGCTTCGGCCAAAAAACTTAAAAATAACATGAACATGGAGGTTCCCATCGCTTCGAATTTCGCATATTGCATTTTGGAGTTTGTTTCTGTATTTGCTGCAATCTCTGAAATAGTCATATGTAAAACTTGTAAAAGTGACGTGTCTATTTCGCGATCAAGTTTCCGAGGCCTAGGCTTTAAAATTATTTTATCGTGTGAGTGTGAAAAACAGACAGTTATAAACTCAGGCCCGTTGATCGGAAATGCATTTGAAGTTAATCGTCGGTTTGTATTTGCGATGCGATTATTGGGAGCTGGTCAAGAAGGAGTAAATTTTTCTGTAGCTTTATGGACATGTGTTCGGGTGTTGCAAATTCTACTTATACTGCACTACTGGAAAACATTCATATGGCTACATCTTCACTGTGTGATACTTTATTGGCATTCGCTGTTACGCAAGAAAAAACTATGAATGAAGAATCAGGAAAACCACAGGATGAATTGACTGTGTCAGGTGACAGTACTTGGAAGAAAAGAGGCTTTTCATCTCTGCTCGGCGTATCTACGTTGATCGGCAAGTACACTGGGAAAGTTTTAGATGTCATGATCATGAGTAGTTTTTGTGGTGGATGTAATTTGTGGAAAAATAGAAAAAAAACAAATCTTTTAGAATACGAAATGTGGTATGAAATGCATGTAGATGAATGCACCATAAACCATTCCAGAAGTTCCGGTCAAATGGAAATAAGTGCCATCACGAAAATGTTTCTGAGGTCTGTAGAAAAATATGGCGTAAAGTATCTAACATACATTGGCGACGGTGACAGCAAAACTTTCAAGGGGATGCTAGATACTAAACCGTATGGAGATACTGCGGTAACAAAAAAACAATGTGTGAGTCACGTAGAAAAGAGGATGGGAACACGACTTCGGGCTGTTAAAAAGGATAAAACCAATAAAGGAATAGGAGGAAAAGGAGCAGGTGAACTTACTGATAAAGTTATCCAAGAAATTACAAAATTCTACGGATTAGCAATTCGACGCCATCCAGATTTGCTTGAAGATATGAGAAAGGAAGTTTGGGCAACGTACTATCACAAATGTTCTTCTGATCAAAACCCTCAGCATCAATTTTGTCCAGAAGGCGAAGACAGTTGGTGTAAATGGCGTAAGGCTGAAGCTAATAATGAACTGGACCAATTTCATCACGATAAATCACCTCTAATTCCGCAAGTCCAAGAAGCTATCAAACCGGTTTTCGAAGATTTATCGAAAGACGAATTATTAATTCGTTGTTTAGGAGCAGAGACACAAAACAATAACGAATCTTTGAATTCTTTGATTTGGACTTTCGCTCCTAAACATCTTCATTCTGGTCCCAAGATTGTTGAAATTGCTAGCTACTTAGCAATTATTATCTTTAATGAAGGTTTTCAAGGAATTTTAAAAGTTATGTCGATTATGGGATGCCCTGTTGGTCGTGAAGCCCAAGCGTATGTTGAGAAACGGGATGAAAAGCGAATCTTACGTTCTGAGCGGCGCGTAAGTGATGTCGTTAAACAAGCCAGGATTGACTCAAGAGCTGAACAATCTGCTTCAAAAGAGTTTCACGAGGAAGAGGAAGGAATACTCTATGGACCAGGCATCGTCGATTGAGAGTAAGTTGATATTTTAATAGTTTTTAACGGGCTTGAAACTTTAAACGCGTTTTTCTCAAAACTGTGTTTTTCAAACTTTCCTCCATTGTATCTCAGAAACGGCTGGACCGAATTACTTGAAATTTACAGGGCACACTATATCAATATATTTAAACGCATGGAATGAACTATTATCAATCGAAAATTTTCAAAACTTCGATTTTTTTATAGCAAAAAACAAAAAAAAAACGCCTAATTTGCAACTTTTATTTCAAATGTCTATCAAAAATCCAATTTTTTTTATATTCATTTGATTATAGGTCATTCCGTGCTTTTAAGCCTACAAATTAAAACGCCGTTTATTTTTTTTTTTCAGATAAGCCGATCAGTCGGAATCGTAGAGGAAGTGGGAGCTCTTTTTTTCGAGGCGGGGGTGTTCAGAGCGCTGTAACTCTTAGTTTGACTAAATATTTTTAGCTGAAATTTTATATTTATACTGTCCAAATATGATAGTAGTTTATTATATAGTATTTTATATTTATACTGTCCAAACAGATAGTAGTAAGGTTAAAATATATGTAACAAATGCACATCTTTGTTCAACTTTTTAATTTAAACTAAATCACGATAAAGCGTGAACGGATACAGCTAGTTTTATTACTAATTTAATTAATTATATTAAAAAATTCAGATTCTAGGGAATAAAATGTTTTTCTCTAGGAGCAGTAAATATTTAGAGCTTCAAGTTTTTTATCATTTATTAACACATTTTTGGACAGTATAAATATAAAATTTCAGCTAAAAATATTCAGTCAAACTAGAGTTACAGCGCACTGAACACTCCCGCCTCGAAAAAAAGAGCTCCCACTTCCTCCACGATTCCGGCTGATCGGCTTATCTGAAAAAAAAAAATAAACGGCGTTTTAATTTGTAGGCTTAAGAGCACGGAATGACCTATAATCAAATGAATATAAAAAAAAATTGGATTTTTGATAGACATTTGAAATAAAAGTTGCAAATTAGGCTTTTTTTTTTGTTTTTTGCTATAAAAAAAATCGAAGTTTTGAAAATTTTCGATTGATAATAGTTCATTCCATGCGTTTAAATATATTGTGTGCCCTGTAAATTTCAAGTAATTCGGTCCAGCCGTTTCTGAGATACAATGGAGGAAAGTTTGAAAAACACAGTTTTGAGAAAAACGCGTTTAAAGTTTCTAACTGCCAACTCAGCGCTCCGAACCGCTCTTTCTTTTACCTGCTGTATCTTTAAAACGACTTCGAAATTTCTAAAATCGCTTTACTACCGTATTCTAGACATGATAAGGGAGCAATTTATGAAAAAAAAAGATAGGAAGACCCCCTTAATTTAAAAAAGTGTAAGTTAGTAAAGCCATAATTTAGTAAAGCGTATTTTCGAAAATAACATGATCAATTTGATGAAGTATTAAAAATAGTTATAAAACCGCATTTTATTACTTGACTTTTGAAACTAAACTCATTATATATTTATCTCAGCGAAGTCCATTTTAAATTCATTTTGTTGCTCGATATATTAAGTTAAGCATAGGACGATCTGTTAATAGTATCACAAATAACAAATATATATTACGTAGTAAAAAGATATCTTTTAAAAATACAATAAAAAACAGTTTGTTCAAAAATATTTTTTTCGAATTACAATTGCGGACTTTTAGTAAGATTTTTAACTCGATTATATGTTACAATCATATCTTTTACCATGCTTTTATATTATATCTTATATTTTTTTAATCTATTTGTTTTTTCGCATTTGAGACTTCTATAAAACTCTGTTCAATTTTCTTCATAATTAACTTGAAAACATTACTATTGACTTGTTTGTTTTCTTTTCTTTTTAATTTTATGAAATTAAATTTGTCTTTAGAATTTTGTATTCAGCAATTTTCTCATTCATAACGTTTCACAAGAGATAAAAAAAACATTGATTCACATAATTAATTTGATAAGTAGTTGTAATTTAATTTTAATTAAGAAAAAAGAAATTTTCATTAAGAAAATTTTAATTAAGATTTAAACCTGTACTTTTCAAAAATCCGGGACAAATATTGATTTTGAAAAAACTCGGATCAAAAGATGGAAACTCGGAACTGTCCCGGATAAACCATAATTTAGGGGGTCCATAAATGTTGTAATTTAATTTTAATTAGGAAAAAAGAAATTTTCATTAAGAAAATTTTAATTAAGATTTAAACCTATACTTTTCAAAAATCCGGGACAAATATTGATTTTGAAAAAAAAAACCCGAATCAAAAGATGGGAACCCGGTACTGTCCCGGATAAACCATAATTTAGGGGGTCCATGACAAAACGAAAAATATCGCAAGAGGTCCACGGCACAAACAAGTTTGGGAACCTATGATATATGGTAATAAATGAAGTGCTGTATCATATATGGTAATAAATTTATATGATATAAAAATAATGTTATTAAAGTAATATTTATTTGCTAATATTTCTTTCTTTCCAGAGAGACTGCTTTCTCGACAAATTGTCTATGTACACAGAACTCAAATGCATCTACTTCATCGCTTGCCTTTTTTTTTGTACATAAATCAGGTACGTCTACCCCCGTTTTACACGGTACTCATTTAACACGTTTCTGATCTTACATGGTTTTTGAAACTAATATGTTTCAACAAAATGTATTAATTTTGTATTTACACGAAAAAAAATAATACACATACTACAAAGTGTATGTTACAGTTACAAATTTTTAGCAGACTATGTCTATGATGGTAATATGTAGATGAGATGTGAACTCAATGTTTTATGATTCAAACTAAAATATATATGTGTATGAGCTAGTTTGTTGAAATATCAGGAGAGCATAATAATTGTTCTTAAACTTTGTTAACTAGTGTTTATATATAATTGATAGTGTAAGTTTGTTCAAGGTGAGCAAATAACAGAATCATTTTTCACAAAATCTTTAATTTATAAAAAAAATATAGTTAGACAAGATGAAAATAAAAAACTTTAATGTAAAACAAAAGTTATATCTGTAAAAACTAATTTTGATTTTTATCTATAAAGAAAATGCAATATTGAAAATAGTTTTTTTTTTTGTATTTGTTTTATTATTGAAATAAATTAATTTTCTTATCATTAGTTAAATGTTTGATATTAAATATATTATTTATTTTTGTTCAATATATTAGTTATTCGTCATATTAAAAAGTTACAAAAGGAGCTTTTTATAGTGATTTTCATTTAGCACAGTTTTCCCATATAAAAGTGTATACAATTTTTCGAGTGACACGTTTTTTTGTGTAACTTATCTACCGTGTAAAATGGGGCATAGGTGTATATATAATCAATTTTATTAATTCCAAACATTAATTTTTTTGCAGGTTGATCCTCATTTGATATTGCTGTTCATACATCTATATTATATCAATTCTTTCCACCCTGCTGTTTCCCCTGAAGGGCAAGCATATCACTCGGCTCCCTCCTCTGAGACATACGACATTTTGTATATACAATGACTCAGTCCATTGAATACAATAGGTCAAGGATGATCAACCAAGTATTTCTAAAGTTAGTTCAAAATTCATTTCCTAAGATAGTTTTCTAAGCATTATTTATGAATTTTTGATTATTTTTTTAAATATTGTATTTTGTATTAATATGTTCTACTATATATCCAGCTTTGTAAATGATTAAAAAGTGTGTCCCCTACAAAATTTTAAAATTTAAATACGATATGTGAAAAAGTTTACTCATTCTTAGAATAGATCTATGCAGTGACAAGTCAGTGTATTTTTTACCCTTTTTTATTGCAATTTTTTAATTTTGCTGAATACGGTAAAACGACCGAGCAATTCGCAAATTTATCAGAAAAGAAAGATAAAAATCGATATTATTACATTTTAAAGTTGAAGGATAAAAAAAAAAACTAAATAATTATAACAAAAGTGGAATCAGTCCAATATATCTTTCAGAAATTGCTTCAATATTAACATGCTGCAGAAAATAAATTTAGATATTATTGTAAATGTATATTCTTCAAGATCCACAAATTCATATCAAACAATTTGCATAACATACAGAATAATATCATCAGTTCATGATTAGATATAATATTGTACTCATTTGTATCTAATAATGCAGTGTACATAAATCACCCTCTTCTTGTTAAAAATAGATTATGTAATTATAATTTAATTATTCTTATTCATACATGAAATAATTCTTTGATTTTTTTTACAGATGAACTTATATTGTGTACAGCTTGTATTTTTAGCAGTATTTGTAATTATTTTCTCCAATTTGATCCAGCATAATTTGAAGGAAATTTTATCAGGTAATTATTATTCAATTGATAGTTTTGTTCTTAAAATAATACTCAATACCATTACAAAGTAACGGTATGAATGATGGATTAGATATGGTAAAAATACACTTAAACTGTCATTATTATTTATATATTGGTGCTTTTGAGTAATATAGAATTTATTCATTCACTCTTTTTATATTGCAGTTACTTTCTGAAGTTATCTATCTTGTTTTTCCAGGCACTTCCATGGTTTTTGAACTTTGATTAATATTTTATTGATAATCAATTTCAAGTAATATTGGTATATTCTGCAAGTATATTAATACTTAATTTACTCACATTGAATGTTTTTTTGATATGCCAATGATATTAAAAATCATGCTGTAATGGTTCATACTTGAAGATAATAGACACATTACCTTAGTTTGGAATAAGCTCAAAGAGAAATGCTTAGGAATTGATTGATCTTTAACATACTTAATGAAGTAATATATAATCTATTTATATTATTATTTATATATAGTTGAGATTATTTTTTATTAATAAGCTCAAAGAGAAATGCTTAGGAATTGATTGATCTTTAACATACTTAATGAAGTAATATATAATCTATATATATATATATATATATATATATATATATATATATATATATATTAATTGTTTAATATGAACAAAACAGCACTCAGATTTGTTTAACACAACTTTATTTTATGATTACAGACGTTTCGAGACTATGGTGTGTCTCATCTTCAGTGTAATTTCAAAAACAGTTACTTATATACTACACATTCTTTAATAACTTATTTAAATTTCATTTAATTTTTGATATACAAAAAACACCAACTATTCCTTGCAATGCTTGACACAGTACTAAAGAAACACATAACACTTACAGAAATATTCTAAACAAATTTGAAGTACTTATATAGATGGAGACAGAGAGGGTATCATTATAATGTAAACAAAAGGAGTGCTATCGCATACAAAATCGATAAAAATGAAAAAACAAATTAATTTATTGAAAAGAATAAGATAAATGAAAAAATTTATAAATTATTAATGATGTTTATATAAGTGTCATGTAAAATATTTGTGTCGGTTCTTAGATTTATGCTATTGTTAGTCCGAACTATTAACATTGATTCTGCCATGCTCCGTTTAAATAAGTCTTTCTCATGGAATAAAATTTGGGGATTGTCAAAATCAAACTTATGGTTGTTGATATTAGCATGATCCACAAGTGTACATTTTTTCACATTGTAATTCATGTTGCCTGAGTCTCTTTTCTAAGTTCTGGCAGGTCTGGCCAATATAAGAGCAATTACAATCCAATTATATTGGCCAGACCTGCCAGAACTTAGAAAAGAGACTCAGGCAACATGAATTACAATGTGAAAAAATAGATAACAAAAAATTTAAAAGTACACTTGTGGATCATGCTAATATCAACAACCATAAGTTTGATTTTGACAATCCCCAAATTTTATTCCATGAGAAAGACTTATTTAAACGGAGCATGGCAGAATCAATGTTAATAGTTCGGACTAACAATAGCATAAATCTAAGAACCGACACAAATATTTTACATGACACTTATATAAACATCATTAATAATTTATAAATTTTTTCATTTATCTTATTCTTTTCAATAAATTAATTTGTTTTTTCATTTTTATCGATTTTGTATGCGATAGCACTCCTTTTGTTTACATTATAATGATACCCTCTCTGTCTCCATCTATATAAGTACTTCAAATTTGTTTAGAATATTTCTGTAAGTGTTATGTGTTTCTTTAGTACTGTGTCAAGCATTGCAAGGAATAGTTGGTGTTTTTTGTATATCAAAAATTAAATGAAATTTAAATAAGTTATTAAAGAATGTGTAGTATATAAGTAACTGTTTTTGAAATTACACTGAAGATGAGACACACCATAGTCTCGAAACGTCTGTAATCATAAAATAAAGTTGTGTTAAACAAATCTGAGTGCTGTTTTGTTCATATTAAACAATTAATATTCGTTCCACTCATATCATAAAATTCTATATTATATATATATATATATATATATATATATATAATTTATATATAGTTGAGATTATTTTTTATTCATTACTTTATTTTCCAGAATGTAATCATTTCTTATAAAACACTGATAAACTAAAATTTGCCTTTGCTTCAAGATTCATCACTATGAGTGCTAGAATTATTACATTAAACACACAAACTTGACCTTGCTGGCACTGGGAATACTGATGCACATACATATATTTTTCTGCTGATTTACGAAGTAATGCTGCAAATAATGATAAAACCTATTTGTCTGAATTTTTAGGAAATTCTCTTAAACATATTTGGTAATGTAAGTAATATTGTGTTAATCTTTTTCTCGGAAGTAGCTGCACCAATATCAAAATTTAATTCATTTTTATACAAGTGCTAAACTGTCTGATCATGTTTCCATATAGAATTGGCCCCACCCTGGTATTTAAATGATTTTAATGCCACTTTATAGTTTTTTTTCGAAAAAATCCGGTATACCAATTTTCAACTTCCTAGTTCATTTGCTAACAGAGATATATTTTTCAATATACTTTTAATATATATAAAAAATTGAGATCTTAGGTTTTTCATACATGGATTTTTTATTATGATTAATGAATATACTTATATACAAGATATAAATGAATTTTGGTTTTTAATAAATATTTCCATATATACAGAATTTGTCGAGACGCGCGATAACGACAAGCCTTATGCTTGCTCGTCGCTCTTGCAAAGCGACTTTATATGAGTGTTCTTGTACCGGCAGCGCGTGTACTAGCTTAAGTTTTTCCAACTTTTCACTACGAAGTTTCACCTACATTTAAATACATTTTTGAATAACAGAAGAAAAATGTACAGGCTTTCGAATGATGCTAATTTAAAAGTAGTCCAAAGAGACGCACTGGTAGCAAATGGAAAATGAAAAATTATTTTCATCTTTTCATGCACTAACAATTAATTTTTTCACATTATTTGTTATGAACAACATAGACAAGATGAGTATAAATAGAATGACGTTAACATTTTTTCAATACCTCTCATATTTCAAACAAAAAGTGAGTTTGAAAAAAGGGGCCACTTTCACATGCTTTCACTGATATCTCTGAATAAATTTTTTTTTCCCAAATACTTCTCTACCTAGGCGCGACTAGGTAGTAAATCTGTGAAAATGCAACGGAATTTGCATAACACTCGAACTGTTCGTCATTCGCTCTCGATGAAATCATTTTTATAC